GGAGAGTGGAGGGACGGCGCAGGAGAGGAAGGCCCTCTATGAGGTGGATTGATTCAGTGACTGGGATAATTGGGATGAGAGTGTCAGAGACAGTGCGATTGGCACAGGACAGAGCGGAGTTTAGGGATGTTGTGCATAGGGTCGCTATGAGTCGCAGGCGACTCGACGGCACATAACAACAACACCAACAACACCACAATTTAACTTCCACTGAAAGAACTGTTTTTTCACCTGTGCCCCAAGAGTCTGTAATACCTATGTCCAAAATTTATTTACTGAATGCCTACCATGTGCCATAGATGGTAATATATTGCAAGAAGGATGAGATCTAAGCTACTACAAAGAATCATAGAATTAATAACAAAAACATTAGGTTTTGTTATCATTTATGTGATATCTCATAATTTAAAATGCTAATAAGAAAATGATAACAGGAAATCTATAAATTAGTTACATGTTCATTCATCTGTTGTTGGGCTTTGTTCTAAGTGTATTACCTCACTCATTAACTCACTTAATATTCAATATAACTCTGTATAAGTACTTATCACAGGTAGTTCCCAGGTCAGAACCTTGCTCACATAAAGTGAACATAACTTGAAGCACTTAGCAAAGAAAAGACTACAGCCTTTGATAAAGATTAAATTTCAACATCAAGAAAACATAAAAAAAAATCTTCTCCACCAGATCAATAGGTAATATTATGGTGCATAAAGAAAATATTGACATTGTCAATTATTTCACTAGACTTGGAGTCACAATTAATACTCATGATAACAGCAGCCAAGAAATAAAAAAATATGCTGTACTGAGAAAATCCACTGTCATGGGCTCACATCCAAAAAGCCAAAGAGCAAGGATGTCTTTTTAAAGACTAATGTAAACCTGATCCAAGCTATGGTATTATCAATTGCTTCTTATGCTTGTGAAAGTTGAATCATAAATAAGAAAAACTGATGAAAAACTGAGGTCTTTGAATTGTGGAGCTGGGGAAGAGAATTGACTATACCATGGTCTGGCAAAAGAACTTGTCTTGAAAAAAGGGCAACCCAGGTGCTCATTAGAGGTAAGGATGGTGAGACTTCATTTCACATTCTTAGGGCGTGTTGTCAGAAAGGGCAAATCTCTGGTGATCCAGTGGTAAGAAACTGCACTGCAATCCAGAAGGTATGTGGTTTGAATCCACCAGCTACTCCAAAGAAGGATGAGCAATCTCCTCCCATGTGATTTGCAGCCTCTAAAAACCCACTATGGTCAGCTATGGGTCAGTTCCTACTTGATCATCAACAACAGGAAAGGCAGAGGGTCAGAGAAGGAGAAGAAGACTCTCAACAAGATGGATTGGCACAATGATTGTAACACTGGGTTTAAGCACAAGAAGGATTGTGAGGATGGCACAGGACTGGGTAAGGTTTGGATCTGTCGTACATAAGGTCACTATGAGTTGGAGTTGACTTGGAAGCACCTAAAAACAACAGCTTTAGTAACGTCCTACATGTAATGTTGCCATATTCAGAAGGACCATTCTCACTAATTTGCTGATTAGATAGATCACCCCTATTTCTAGGGATAGCCAGATGATCCAGAAGTTTCTACAAGGGATTGCCAAGACTGAATAAATGCCAAGGTCCATTTTTTGTAGATTCGTACTTTGTTGGGGGTGGTGGGAACAAATGGAGTATTTGACCTTCATCAGAACCAATGTCCCTCAGAGCTGTCAGAACAGAACTCTGGCACCAATCAGAGGTCACTTACATTTTTCTCCATTTGGCAAATGGAAAAACTAGGGAAACAAAAAATTAAATAACTTGTCCAAGATGCTCAAAATGTTTCTCATTCTAGAATCCATGCTTCCATGCTCTAGGAGCACTATGTGATGCTAATCTAAAATTGCTTTTACTAGACTGAAGTGGACAAATAGATTGAGAAAAAAATGCACTAATCTAGTATTATACATTAATATCTAGTATTACCTGAAAGCCAACAGCCTCATGTGACTACTTAAATTTTAATCAAAATAATGGTGTTGTTGTTGCTGCTGTTATATGCCATCGAGTCGTTTGCAACTCATAGTGACCCTATGTACAAGAGCCCTAAATGCTGTTCTATTCTGTGCCAACCTCGCTGTCTCAAACACATTCATTCCCACCACTCCACTCAGAATTGATCCATCTCATCGAGGGTCTTCCTCTCCTGCACCGTCCCTCCACTCTCCCAAACATGATGTCCCTCTCCAAGGACCAGTCCCTCCTTGCAACATGTCCAAAGTATGTCATATAAAGCTTCAGAATCCTTGACTCCAGGGAACATTCTGGCTTCACCCGTTCCAGGACAAACCTGTTTGTTTTCCTAGCAGTCCATGGTATATTCAACACTCTTCTCCAGCACCACAGCTCAAAGGAAAAAATTCTCTTTCTATCATCCCTATTCATTGTCCAACTCTCCGATGCATAGCACATAATTGCAAAGACTATAGCCTGGATCAGGTGCACCTTAGTCTCCAACCTGAAGTCATTGCACTTCAGTACTCTTGAGAGGTCCCTCACAGCTGACTTTCCCAATGCAGTTCGTCTCCTGATTTCCTGGCTGCTATTACCAAGAGTGTTGACTGTGGAGCCAAGCAAACTAAAACTGTTAAGTATCTCAATCTCTTCACCATCCATACTGATGCTGCCAATTGGCCCAGTGGTGAGAATCTTTGTTTTCTTGATATTGATCTTCAATTCATATTGAAGACTGCAGTCCTTGACCTTCTGCAGCAAGCGCTTCAGGTCCTCCTCAGTTTCAGCGAGCAGGGTTGTGTCATCTGCATAACGCAGGTTGTTGACGATTCTTCCACCAATCCTGATGCCATATTCCTCCTCATACAGCCCAGCGTCTCGGATGATCTGTTCTGCATACAGATTGAAAAGGTATGGAGATAAAATACATCCCTGACAGACCCCTTTAATACAAAATTTAAAATCCAATCTCTCCATTATATCAGCCACCTTTCAAATGTTTGATCTTCACAAGTAGCCAGTATTTATAATGTAGGCAGCATAAGCATATCCATAATCAGAGAACATTCGACTGGGCATGTCGAATTAGAAGCTTTAGAGACAATAGCTGAAAAATTGCGTAGTTAGCAAGTCTAATGACAACAAAAATAGTTACTCTCTTTTGCATATCTTTTCATTTTTCTCTAATTCACTTCTATTGCATTTTTAAAAGATACCAGTCTGCAACAAATTAGACATTTAAAAGCTGATCCTTCCACACTGGTCACTAGAGATTATTGTTGCTGTTGTTACTGCGG